CACGCAGCTGCCTGGTCAGGCACGATTGACACATGGGCATGCTAATAGATTAAAAACTGATGCACCTATAGGGATCGCAAGATACTGGCAGCACTAGTCCCAGTCCGAAGAGCTCAGATTCGTCCTGTGCCGATATTCGACCGTAGTAAGGTACAGCTATGCTCCCAGCGTAGATACTTCAATTTTGAAATTTTATCTTTTTAATTTTCTCGGGAATTACTAGGTAACATAGAATAAATCAGTCTGAATTAAGCTTCATGGGTGCATAATAACAGACTTTTAGTGAGAACCTGCACTATCAGTAGGTTGTATGTGTAATCTCCATAATTCCTACACCCTACGAAGAAAAGTCAAGCACGTCACCCCTATGATGAGTTTGTGCCTCCAAGTTTGTGTTCAGTTCACTTTAGATAGGCTAACGTCTTTGAACTCCTTATTAGTTACAAAGCGGCTCAGAAAAAACATAAATACAAAAGGAAATCATATAACAAAGAGGAAGTTTACATAATTGCTGGCAAAAAGCGAGTAGCAGCCGGCTACTAGAAAAGAGTAAACATAAACACCTACTTACTTATTACGAGTGATATAGATGCATGTAATTATTGGCATTTGGGGTGTAGCTGGACGTGCGTAAGTTGAAGCGTGTTCAGTTTGCTCTTAGATGAATTCATGCGGGTGGAGAGAACAAAGACCTCGAATAGAGCGTTACACGCTGTAAAAACTCTGTTACTGAAGAAACTTTTGCGTTCATAAATCATTGCTTTACCTTGGTGCAGTTTTAGGGGATGATCGCACAAAGTGGGTATGTCAGCCCGAGTGAAGAAGTCCAATTTTCTTCTACCCATTATAAAACAAGAGCCCAGTTGTGCGGATAGCGTTTCCATGCCGCAGAAAATCAAATTCACATGTCCCTTTATGCTGAATTTGTCTGGCAAACGGAGTTAACTGTGACAGCTGTCTTTTGGGAGTATCTTATAGGTGATTCTGACGTTTTCCAGAATTTAGAAGTACCCGCGGTAGATAATCTGAGAGCTAAACAAAAAATCCGGCACTCAGCCGTACGAGGACGATAAAATCATCTGTGTGAGTTTTTTCTGATCCTTTATCGAGAAGAGGCTCCAGAGAGTTTAGCCAATTTTAATTCGAAAGTTGAAAGTTCCTGTGGAAGTAACAAAAACAAAATATTCAATCAACTTTACTTTTGCGCTTACTGTATCGAACCGTAGGCTGACTGTCTAGCTTTATCGGTCCGGACATGCCTTCCTTTGTCCTGTTTTCCTCTTACCACCGGGCCCAGGTGGTTGAGAGTGTAGCGAGTGTGGTAAGCGCAACGCAAGTCACCTATCACTATAAACTGATCTTCCTCTCTCTTCCCCCCCTTTCATTCATACACCATTGATGAGGTTAGAGGGTTAGGCGCAAGGTGTGACGAGGCTGCTCTTGACTCGGTGCATCAAGAACCATTCTGGGCGAAGGTATTACCTGTAAGTCCGTCCAATCAGTTAAAACATCACAAATAATAAAGCTCA